AGAATGGGCCAAAATCACACGTGAGCAATGCATGCGTCTGGTTTCTCCATACAGGAAGCATCTTGAAGCCATTAAAGTCATTACCAAAGGATTTTGTACAAAGTATTAAATACGTTTCATTTAGCATGTTGAGTACTTTTTCCCTGTCTCATTCCATTTTATTACACATAACTTTTTCTGAACTTATTTGTTTTGGTTTCTTTGTATGTATAGATTGCAAGGGTTGTTACCCACCTGTGAAAATTTTATGTCAATAGCACCTTTAGAAATGTATTTACTGAGAAAAATGGTGATATGTTCAATACCTATTTTATCCGCTGTAAGTCACAAAGTATTTGCATGACGATTTTTCAAACGCTATTTTTTTTTTTTTAAAAATACACTTTTTGGAATTTTAATGCAATACAATACAATACAATATATTGCAAAATTGTTTGTATAAGTATAAAAGATGATGTTACACTAAGTAAACAGATACCAAACATGACCTGCTTTAAAATTGTGCATGCCCTTGCAACGGCGACATGTAATTTTTAATATTGATAGGCAATGCTTTAAAAGGCTTACAGGTCACCCCTTTATATTTACACAGGAGGTCTAGTGCTAGAATTACTGCCCTTTATCTGACATTTACAGTAATTGCAGTAATATCTCATATGCATGGTGCAATCTCTGTTTACATATTGACACAAAACTGACGCTTGCATTTGCCTTTGCATGCGGGCATGGAGAAAAGAGGGCGTTGGTAATTTTTTTTATTTTTATTTTTACGCTCTCCTTTTTTTTTGGATCACTTTTATTGTTATCACAGGGAATATATAAATCTCTCCTGGGATAGGCAGTAACAGGTACTTTTCTGAGAAATCTGGGGTCCATTAGACTCTAGATATCTCCTTTGCCCTTAAAGCATCTGATCACACCAAGATCATGTGATCAGATGCTTTCCCAATTTAAAAATGGCGCTGTGTATATCGGGCGAAATGGAAATGATGAAATGCTCGTAGCTTCCAGTTTACTAGACCATAGAGATGATTGGAGTCATTTTGGTCTCCAATCAGCTCTATGGTCAGCCAGCGTAACGTCTGGCTGCATTCTCGGATTCCCTGGTGGGACGGGAGAGACCAAGAAAACCAGAAAAACCATGGAAGGCTGAGGGGGAGGGGGTATGGGCAATGCCCCTTTCTGCTGCTTGCAAAAATGATCCAACAGCTAATTAGACCACAATTCTTTTCTTTTTTGTAATGTCCATGTTGATGGTTAGGCCCAAAAGATTTTTTAAATTCAGAAACCGTCATAGGTTTCCATGTCAATTGTCTGTAGGGGCGGACTGACCATTTGGAAACTCGGGTACTGCCTGAGGGCCCGGGGTTAGTAGGGGGCCCCATGAGATGCCCCTGGTACCTTTTTCATAGGCTTTTTTGAGTTTCCATGCATAATGGGGGGCCCCATGATCCCCTATTGCCCAGGGGCTACTTGAGTTGTCAGTCCACCCCTGATTGTCTGGCAAGAGCTGATTTTGGGTGGGTGGTGATGTATTGTGTGTAGAAATTGCTTCGGCTCACAATCAATTGATACAAATCTTAGGTAAAAAAACAGTTGAGGGGCTAAATGCTAGTGCTGGCAGGGAATGGGCCTGATCCTGCTAACACTGCATTTTTGGGGGCACTATACAAAGGAGGCACTAGTATAGTTCTGTTTATGATCAATATATGGATCCATACAAACACACTAAACTAGTAATGGCAGTGATCAGCGACCTATAGTGTGAGTGCGATAGTGTGCGGGCAATCTACCGCTAGCTGAACCTGGCTGGGAGGGGGGCTAACTGACCCTGATGCTATTTGATGTCGCTAGTGGCAGTAATACAGTGAAAAATTCTATATACTGACACTGTACTAATGGCACTGGCTGGGTGACTGGGTGATCAAAGGGTTAATAAGGAGTGATCAAAGTGTTAAATGTGCTAATCTAATGTGTGTGTGTAGAATGTAGTGCTTTTATTCAGTGCCGTTTTCTCTCTTCTCTCCCTGGACTGACGGGGAAGGGGGGCGGGGTACACCCAGAAATAGAAAGCTGTGTATGGGTGCATTGCTTAGCTCAGAGCCGCCGCTTGCCTGCACATTGAGTGGCAAGTGGTTAAAAAAAATGTTTTTCATTTTTTTTCAATACAGTATTTTATTCTATTAAACATTAAAAAAATACTTTAATCAGAGTAGTAGAATGCTACCATAATAACATTGTACTACTCTGGGGGGGTGAACATGGATTTTTTTTTTTTTTTACACTTTGCATTGCAGGAGCAATAAAGATTATTGTTCCTGTAATGTAATGCTTGCTTTGAACTATCATGAATGGGTTACGTTTATGACAATTCAAAATACAGTGATCTGTGATTGGTAACACAAATTGCTGATTAGCCAATAATATGGCAGCAATGCATTTAGGCATCTAGACATGGTGAAGCTGACTTGCTGAAGTTCAAACTGCACATCAGAAGGGGGAAGACAGGGGATTTAAGTGACTTTGAATGTGGCATGGTTGTTGTTGGTGCCAGTCGGTCTGGTTTGAGTATTTCAAAAACTGCTGATCTACTGGGATTTTTTAAGGCACAACCGTCTATAGAGTTTACAGAGAATGGTCCAAAAGAGAGAAAATATCCAGTGAGCAGCAGTTGTGTGAACGAAAATGCCTTGTTGATGTCAGAGGTCGGAGGAGAATGGCAGACTGGTTCGAGATGAAAGAAAGGCAACAGTGACTCATGTTAATATGGACCAAAATCTCTGAGGAATGTTTGCAACACCTTGATGCCATGAAGAATTAAGGCAGCTCTGGGGGCAAAAGGGGATCCAACCCAGTACTAGCAAGGTGTACCTAATAAAGTGGCCGGCGAGTGTATATAGAAAGCCACTAGAGGGCTCCCAGTTCAAATATATATGAATATGAGCATGAAAATATGACACAGCAAGCAGGTAAGATGTAAATGTTAAAACAGCTCATAATGAATGCTTACTGCAAATGTCTTTCCCCTCAATGTATAGCTGCTGTGTCTCCCGCCAGGATGTTTGCAGTGACGTAGAACCCCCGTTTAGGTTTCTATGATGGACTGTTTTTCTAATTTAACTGTTCCACATAACTGCTGTTTAATGTTTTACAGAGTATCATTATCTCATTATGGGTAGTGTTTTGGCATTGTGCAGTCTTTTGAAATTGATTTCTTGTAGGAGTAGAACCTTAACGAAGACTTCAGTGTGAATGCAGGTGTTAGAATCTACAGATGGAAGAAAAGTAGAATTGGCATTTCACTGGCTGCCTAGGAGTTTTAATATTAGAAGACCTCCCTCACAGATGAAACGTGTGCCCCCAGGCATAGCATGTCTTACTCTGGGCTACATAGTCAAGTACCCCGACACTCACCTCTGTTTGTAGCGTATTCTCCCCTGTGACAAGGAAACAGTGAAATATTGACATTCATGCACATCATTCATCTGCGCAGCGTGTTCTCTGTTCTGTATTAGGAATGAGGGGAGTGAATTTGATAAAATTCGTGTTGCTGTCAAATGACCAATTTTTCCATCTGCAACATTACGACAATGTGCTTTTTAGGGGTGTATTTAGAGAAGTTTAATTTGTGTTAATTGAATAAAAAAAAATTAAAAATGTATTATATTGCAGATTACCAATCCTTAGATGCTTTCTTTTCTTTGGCTTTTTCCTTCTGTTTTCACCTGGTGATCTGGCCAGTAACACACCTCCTGTATTAGTGAGACACAACTCTGCAGGAATGAGCACAAGAGGCACAGCATACAGCAGTATTGTCAGTCGGGGGGGGGGGGGGGGATGAAAGTGTTAAATGTATTAGCAGATTTGGGCATGAGATTTTGATTGTAGGTTATGGACTTTATAGTTCCAATAAAGCAATATTGTTTATTGACATAATAATAAAATTACAGGGAGGCACGGGTGCGCAAATTCACATGTATATACGTACATGTATATGATTTTGCAGTTCCAGGTAGGTGGCTGTGCACTGTGTACAGCCATCCCGAGCAGTGTGCTCGAGCTGACAGGGAGGAAGATTGTATATAAACAAAATAATCTTCCTCCCCGTCGGAGATGCTCGGTAATCACCAGGTGCCGGCGGGTAATTACTGGCTGGGACCCGGTGATTGACATCCACGGCCACGAATGGTGGCGTGCGGCTCACGTGCACCCCCTACCTGGCAGTGCAAATCACGTATATATAGTTGAAAATATTGTTTTTTTTTTCTCAAAATTGTTTTTTTTTTTTTTTCATGGCGCAAAAAATAAAAAACACACAGATGATCAAATACTACCAAAAGAAAGCTCTATTTGTGGGAAAAAAAGGACATAAATTTAATTTGGGTGCATGACCGCGCAATTGTCAATTAACCACTAGCCTACAGGGCACTTATACCCCCTTCCTGCCCAGGCCAATTTCCAGCTTTCAGCGCTGTTGCGCTTTGAATGACAATTGCGCAGTCATGCAACACTGTACCCATATGAAATTTTTATCATTTTTTTGTGACAGATAGAGATTTATTTTGGTGGTATTTAATCACCTCTGGGTTATTTATTTTTTCTTAAACAAACCAAAAACCACTGAAAATTTTGAAAAAAAAATTTTTTTTCTTAGTTTTTGTTATAACATTTTGTAAATAAGTGATTTTTCTCCTTCACTGATGTGCGCTAATGAGGCTGCAGTGATGGGCACTGATAGGCTGCACTGATGGACACTGATGGGCACTGATGAGGAGGCACTGGTAGGTGGCACTGATGGGCACTGAAAGTCAGTCCTCATATACGGCACTGATATGCGGCACTGATAGGCGGCACTGATAGGCGGCACTGACTGGCACTGATAGGCGGCACTGACTAACACTGTTAGGTGGCACTGATAGGCAGCACTGATGGGCACTGATAGGCGCCACTGATGCAGACTGATAGGTGGCACTGACTGGCACTGATAGGCAACACTGACTGGCACTGATAGGTGACACTCATTGGCAGCACTGATAGGTGGCACTGACTGGCATTGATAGGTGGCACTGACAGGCACTGATCGGTGACACTGAAAGGCAGCTCAGATGGGCACTGATATGTGGCATTGATGTGGCACTGATGGGCACTAAAATGTGACACTGATGTGGCACTGATGGGCACTGGCAGGTGGCATGGATGAGCATTGAGAGCTGGCACTGATGGACACTGACAGGTGGTGCTGCTGGGGCTACACAGATCATCAGGGCACACTGATCATCAGTGCTCTGATGATCAGTGTACATGTCCCCTCCGTGGAATGCCGATTACCGGCTCTCCTCTCCTCACGTGCTGTCAGCGTGACAGCTCGTGGGGAGAAAAATGCAGATAACTGGCATTTCCCTGTTTACATGTGATCAGCTGTGATTGGACACAGCTGATCACACGACCGAGCCGACATATTCGGCTCTTTCCGTGGATTGGTGATCCGGACACAGCGCACTGCCGATCGCTGCGCGGCTGCATATTACTATATGGCAGGCAGGAGGTTAAAGTAAAACAGCACCGTATCGCAAAAAATGGCCTGGTCAGGAAGGGGGTAAATCCTCTGGAGGGCAAGTGGTTAAATAAATCAAGATTAAAAAATAATTAAGTACACATTTTGTGGAATGTGGCATATTTCCCCAAAAAAAACAACAGAGGTACCCAAAAGATGTATCCCCTGCTGGAAACGTGGTAGAAAAAATATATTAAGTGCTGTGTCCTATAGCTCAGAACATGGAATTTTTGATTGTAGGTTATGGACTTGATAGGCAAGTACACTACACCATTTGTTCTGGAATCTGAATAGAATCCCTTTAAAGTATCGGGATTTGGCTTGGCAATTGTTCCATGGGAGACTCTATGTGAAGGACAACCTGAAGCATCACTCTGCGGAGATTCATGTTTGTCCAAGAGTGGAGTGTGCTGGGGTGGAAGAGACAATGGACCATTTCTTGCTTCAGTGCCCCTTCAATATAGAAATCTATAGGCGGGTGGACGGGGCTCTGGGTATCCCTTTTCTTTCCCACTTGAGTGGTCTTACGGAGCCTTTCAAACTCACTGGGATTTTGATTTTTAAACACTTTTTCTAGTTAGCTTAGTAGTTCGTTACTACATGTGTCACATTTCCACTTGGAAAAAAGTCCTTTCTGTCGAGGTGGTTGTGCACAACATTCTGGGTGAGGTTGGGAAGATTCGAGGTCTTGAGAAGGACAGGTGGTGGCCGAAGCCTGGACATGTCAGGTCCCCGTAGCTGCTGTCTTTTGGTCTTTGGGGTGTGGGGCTTTTCTTTCTGTCCTTTCACGTTCCCTAGAATTTTATAAGATCAGATTTTTGGAAAAGGGGTGCATGCATGGGTTCAATGTTTATTTGTTTCTTAGCCTGAATGTGTGTTTAGGTGCAGGTAGGGTTGTGTTTTGCATAATTTGCTAGTTTACGGATAATAAAATTATGTTTCTCTGTACATAGTTCTATTTATATTATTTTCTGAATTGTATATATGTACAAACATACTTGTTTTTAATAACAAACTGTATGTTTGCAAGATTTTAAACAAACAAAAATTTACACCACACCATTTGTTATAATAAAACTATATTGTTTATTGACATAATCATAAAATCAAGAATTAAATCATAAAGTCAAGATTAAAAAAGAATTAAGTACTCAATTTGTGGAATATGACATATTCTCAAGAAAAAACAGTAGAGGCACCCAAAAGTTTTATAGTTATTATGGGTAACCCAAACTAGTATGCAGGTCCTCCAGCTGCGTGGGTTCCACCTTCCACAGATTTGCTTTACATGTTTCGTGACTGAAATTGCTTCTTCAGGAGCTTGTATAGCATCCTTATAAGAAAAAGGTACATATGGTAACATACATATAATATGATCCTTTTCACAGTATTAAGATAGATGATACAGAAAACTTCTGTATAAATATACATTTACTAAAATCTAATACTGAATAGTGCAACAATGTGTACACACTCTCAGAGGCGAAAAGTCACTCCACAGGCTTAATGCAGGGCCAGTCACAGGGTGGATGCGGGGGCGTACAGCAGGCTGAAGGAAGACAACACAAAAGAACCATGCTCCATGATACATTGTAGGATTCCAAAGATATTAGCAACATAGTTGCCCTAATTGGTAAAGAGGTACTTACTGGGGTCCCCAATACCTAGATGTATGTTTTTTAACCCAGGCATATTTCCACTAAGCTGACGAAGCTATATGATCCCACAGACAAAGCCTGCAAGATATAAAATGAAATTCCCAAAATGGTATTGGCTCAATAAGGGTGATGGTGTGTTTGCATGTAGCTAAGATGTACAGTATGTATATATAGTTACCTTATATGGACCAATCAGTAGAACATTAGCAGTAAGCATAAAAATAATCTTAATGTGGTCATCTATTTGTAAGTCATCTCAAATCCATTTACAAGGCCACATAAACTCACAGCCACCAGCTTATCTGGTCAATAAACACTACAAGACACAGACCAAGCTTTCCATAAAAATCCACCATGCACAGGGAATCCATCAGACAATGTTCCATGCCATGTATCACAATGTAACAAAACCTGCCTCCATGTCTGGGGATGGTAATTACCTGTTATCCGTGTTGCAAATGGATCCCCCCCCCTACAAAAGTGTGTGCAGCTGTTCAGTCTCCTAACATGCCCTGGAGTATGTCCTCATGCATTCTCCACCATCCCACCATATATATGTCCCAACCAGCACACCCACTCCGATCGGCATGTGACGTCACCTGGCCTGGCCAGAGGTTACCACACACGTGCACCCCAATGGCACATGCATCCTGTGGCCAGCAACAAGACTGGACCGGGTGGTGGTCCCACCCACCAGTCATCTTGGCAATGTGCAAAGCGTCATGGAGCAGCACATGCATGGTACACAAGGGCCCCATGCGATGTTACTGCACCAGTACTCAATGCAGCCATACCGAAGGCGATTCACCAGCCATGATGTGTAGGACAGGAATGGGGCAGCACAAGAATCTCTCCAACATAAGTTGTTTAAGAATAAGTCTCAGCACTTTCCTGACTTGACAATGAACTCCTACTTATGGACATTTTTGATGCAATGGTCAGCGACATGAAACACATGTCCATAGTTACCAACAATTCCAATCTTACACCTTCTCAAAGACAGGCTTTGATACAGCTTAAAAACATGTCCAATGTGGTCATTAAACCATTGGACAAGGATAGTAAGATTGTTATAATGCAACACACCCAATCTGAGAAGATGTGCCTTGAAATCTTGAAAACAAACACTGGTAAAGGCATATTTCAGTCAATCTGATATCCCAGTTCAATTCTGAATTCAAAGATATTATCAATACAGCTTATCTTGATACCTTAAAAGACAAGGAGATATACGATTATTTAAATGTACAATTTCTTAACATTTTTTCTTTATTTAAAATCCACAAGATTATGACTGCAGCTCCTGAAATGTCCATAATTTCAAGAATAGGATCTTTCATTGAAAACGCCAGCAGGCTGGTGGACTTTTTTTTTAATGCCTCATGTTACAAGGCCCCATTCTTATGTTATAGACACCCTAGATTTACTGAAACAACTTGGTCTTTCTGTACCTCCTGACACCCTCCTCATGATGATCGATGTATAGGCACTCTACTCGAGTATTTCTCACAAGTAGGGCATCGGGATCATATGATCCTTTCTGATGGAACAGGATCAAACACACTGGGAGTTTAAACTTGTACTTAAATTGCTGTACTTTATTCTCACACACAATTGGTTTACTTTCATGGGTTCCCACTACATCCAGGTACAGGGTGTGGCCATGGGCACTTGTTGGCCCCCTTCTTACTCTAATCTGTACCTGGAGGGGGGGGGAGGAGGTGGGAACAGGATGATGTGAGCATATACCTGGACCTGGCTCTTTGCTGGTTTAGGTATATTGGTGATATTTTTGTCATTTGGACTGGCACGATTGCTATGTTGAATTAATTGATGATCAGACTCAATCAGAATAGGTACACTCTTAAATTTCTCAACGTGTGGCCCTAATGCACAGTATATTCATGCACAATACATCCGTTTGCAACAGAATTGTACCCACACAGACGATTTATAATACAAACTGCTCAATTGCGCCAACGTCTTTTACAACGGGGATATAGCAAGTCACTTCTATGTAATGCCTATAACAAAGCTCTCAATAAAACTAGGACATCCCTATTATACCAAGTACAAACATCTAAGACAGAACATCATACGGTGAAATCTATTTACAGATTTTCGGCACGACATCAAGAATTTCGTACCATCTTATAACAACATTGGCACCTCTTACATGAAAATGCCACATTAACAAAATATATTAAAGAACGTCCAGGGATAGTATTTTGTAAAGCTCTATCTATCAAAGATAAAATTACAGCTAGCCATTATACATCTCATGATCAAACTAAATTTCAACTAAAAGGTATATATGCATGTGGACAGTGTTCTTATTGCCCATGGGTATATACGTGGCACATGTTTTAATCTACCCAATAGTGAGAAATTTACCCCATGGTTTCATGCAGATTGTAGCACGCAGGGGGTTGTCTACCTTATGCTCTGTGATTGCGGAGCGTAATATATAGGCAAGACTATTCGCCAATTTAGATAGAGGGTTCATGATCACATATACTATTCTTCCATTGCAAAAATGCTTACTCCATTAAGCTGTCACCTAGGCCTGTATTATAGGTTTGACACCTCCCATGTGAAATTTATTGTACTGGAAATAATTAAGAAAGACCCTCAGAGTGGTAACTGGGACAGGAAAATTCTATGTGAAGAAACCCTTTGGTATAAACATCTAAATGTTACCCAGTCTCCCAGGATTATTGAGATGCTATCTTATAAACTATTTTTGTAATAATGTCTTAGCAGGAAAATAAATCAATATTTGGCATGCCTAGACTAGAGGCTTGCTTTAGGCACTGATGTTCCATATTTAGCTTCTATCATAATATTTGTCACAATTTTTATAGCTATGGTAGTTATTGACCACCTTACCTGTATGAGTTAATAACACTGTTCAACAAATTTTTATTTTTTGCCAGTTTTGGAAACAAAAGGATCCATTTCTTAATGAATTTCACATTCTGAGTTCAAATATAACAATGAAATTTGTCAATTGGCTCTAGTTTTTCTGTAAATGGAAAGTTTTCTACTATAGGCGTAATGACTACATAATGCACAATAATTATATAGATAGATGTCTTTCCACAAATATAAAGCAAGTGATATTGACTACATAACAGCCTAAATGGCATAATATATTGCATAGGATTACCAAGAAAAATTATAGCCATAAGCTAAGTTGAATCATTTTAATACTTAGGATTCTCACTAGTTTTGTCTTCAGTTTGTGTCGGTTTTGCTTCTCTTGGCTTTTCTCTTGTATTCGAGGAAAGGGCTATCTCTTACAACTGCACGTGACTACACGCTTCAGGTTCTT